TCAGCTGGACGCTTCACTCTCCACTCTAGTCCTCTGTGGCTATGTCACTGACTCTGGGCCCAAGAGTCCCCAGGTCTTGCCACACCACTGGCCCACCCGGTCTTCACCCAGGTTTACAGAAGTCTATTGAATGTCGTAGGGCTTAGCTCACCGCTTCATTGCTGTTTTTCCCTCACTTCCACTTGTCGGTGTTGAGCGTGTTCACCAATCACAGCGTGTATTCCCACTGATCTTGGAAGGGGATTTTCCCTGAGGGGACCCTACTACTTGCCTTGATGTTTTCTGGGCAAGCATGTTGCTTGTTCTTGTAGTAACTGTCAGTCTGCCTATGTTGTTTTACATTTTTCCTGTAGGTCTTTCTTTCAAGAAGTATCTTCTGTTCTTCTAGCCACTCCAGGTTGGCCTGCTTGTCCTTTCAAGTGAGAATTTCCTGTCTCTGGAGATCTGGATGTGGTTCAGGCTTCCATCTGTAGTCTTTTGTATTGCAGAGGCTCCACAGGAAGCCTCCCTCACTGGACACGTTGTAGCCCCATTTTAGGTGTTCCAATTAGTTATAGGGCAGAAGACGGACTTACAAGCTTTCTATGGTGATGCTTTTCACTATTCCTTTGTCTCCCCCTCTAGTGACTATTTTATAATATAATGCAAGGAGAACCTAGACTCAAAAGCATCTTAATATTAATGCAGCCAAGCATCTTAATATTATTCTCCCCTTTTCCACATTCCAACCATGGCTCGATCTTTGTATCCCAGAACTCTGTTGTTCTCATGTTGTGCATATATCATTATTTACCTCTGTCTCACTTAGCCCATTGAGACCTGTCTAATTGTTCTCCCATCTGCTTTGTTCTTCCATTACCCTCTCCCTACTTGTATGTTGCCTCCTCCCTAGACCCAAACTATCCTGTGTCTAATCCTTGCCCTGTGCTCCAACTTTCCCTCTCTCCCCTCATCCACTCCCAACCTCCCAATAATCAACAAAGAATCTCCCCCAACCCCCTTTAGTATGAGTTCTTTCCCTTAGTCTTTTTTTTTTTAGCCCTTTTGAACCTGCCCAATTATTCTCCCATCTGTCCCGTTTCTCACTTCCTCTCCCTCCCTGTATAATGCCCCCCGCCCTAGCACCCAAGCTCTCCTGTGACCAGTTCCCACCCTGCGCTTCGTCCTCCCCCCTTCCCCTCACCCATCACCAACTTCCCAACAATCAACAAAGACTTTCCCATACCCCCTTTTAGTATAATTTCTTTTTTTTTTTTTTAGTCTTTTACAGTAGTGGTCCTATGCAGTATTTCTCTTTTTGTGACTGACTAATTTCACTCAGCATAATGTCCTCAAGGTTCAT